AGTGAAACAGTTTAATTTTCCGGGAGTGCAGGGACTGGAATGTAGCAGGGACTGGTAGGTACGTGCAAAGTAAAACAATACCTGTCACCTTTGAACTGAGAAAGATTTTGCTTGGAGACATTTGCTATGATCAATATTTAAAAATAATATATAGGGAACTTTAATATTTTTGTTTAGCTTGTACAATTTGTTTGACATAACTAGGGGTCTATGCACTTGAGGAGAGGGCTGGCCAATTTTGTGGGCAGATCATGGGGCTGGCTTCCATTTTCATAGGCTGATTGTGGCAGGGCCCCCTATGCTTCTGGCTGAGGGACCCCGTTGCCTTGCCTCTCACTGCTGATTGGTTGCAAGGGCTGTTCATCATACATCCCCAGCTCTTTTTGCCAATTCGGTGGCGAGCAGTGGGGCTACATAACAGGCAGCCCTTTTAGCCAGTCAGCAGTGAGGGGGGGAGAAGCAGTCATCTTGGGCTCCCCTTCATGACTGCAGCTCCCCTCCCTCCTTCCCCCCAGTGGTTTGCATAGCTAGGCTGCAATGCCATGGAGGACTGCTGGCTCCCTCTAGGAAGCCAGCATTTTATTGTTTAATGATCGGTTAGTATACGCTTGTGGAGTTTTTTTGTGGATTTTGCTGACATTGCTGGATTTTGCAGCCAATGCCAGATTTCACGATTTCCACAACATCATGATTTCGTAAGATTCCCTAGAACTAAGGTGAATGTTTTCAGCAAGACAACATGCTATCTTCTCTTCTTGGGGAATGGTAAGCAGGAAAGTTGCAGTAGAGAAGCAGTGTGTTGTGGCTTTGGAGAGATGAGAGGCCTTCCAGAGCCCAGCTGTTAATTGCTCCCTTTATGTATTTATTTTATTTATTATTTTTTAAAATCAATTTATTTACCCTGCTTTTCTTTTGGGGAGTTTTACCATAGGTGTCTCTGTCTCCTTTCTCTGTCTGTGAATTGTTTCATTATTTACATTTAGGCTAGGTACAGGCATGGAAGTGGAGTGGTTTAGATCGGTAGTGAAAAGAACACACTGTCACGGTGTGGTCCGTCAGGAGGGCTGTGATCTCCTTACGGCTCCCTCACCGTGCCAAGTCGGCCCAAGGGCACCCTCAAATTCTCACTTGCCACGTCTTTGATGTTGAGGTAAAGTTGGGAGGCTGCTTTACGGCTCCCTGGGCACGGTTAGACGGGACCTCTGTCCCCGTGTGTTCCCGGACCCCCTGGGGGTCCCCCGGTATGATGGGTGCTCCCCAGGCACCCTAGCCTTATGGGCTACGCGTGGCTCCTACCAACCCCTAATACCACGCCCCAAGCCTCACTGATGGGATAGACGCTGGTATGTCTCTCTATATATATACTGCCCATCTCTCGGGCCTCCTCTACGTACTCTCGCCCGCTCTCTGGGGCCTCCTCTGTTGTTTTGCCCTCTG